GTACAAATTGTTGTTACGATACATTAATCAAGGACGTGGAAGAACAGCGCTGGGAGAGAAGATTCCCCTGTCTTACGTAAGCTTTGATCTGCAGTCTCTCGGTCACCTCGTCTCCTTCCATTAGGACTTCTGATCTCAGAAGGAGTAAAATTTGCCATCTTCTGGCCCTGGCAATTTCCTTACAGTGAAATTTGTCAGAAGACATGAGATACCATGGCTAAAGTGCTGGATAAAAGTACTTATGTGCCCTCCCTTTCATAGGTTTTCTTCCCCTTGCTCTCTCTTCCTGAAAAAGAGCTTTGGTACAATGAGGAAGACAGAAACTAGAATCTGTGTGCAACTTAAACATCGTATCTTCATTCGTCCCTAAAAATCTTCTTTGTACATCATGCTCTTATCTCTAAAGTGATGGAAGCCTCCACAGCCTTTGATGTTTTGGGAAATAATTGCACTAAAGGGAATTAACATGCATTTATACGGTGGTGAAACAAAAATAAATGGCATTGAGGTCTTTTTGTTGTTTTAGCTTAACACCTTGATGTTTGGATGCTTGTGATTTTTCATACTGCAATCCCTCTTGTGAGTCCAGCTCCCTGTGCCTCTTCCTTGCACCCTCTCCTGTACTGTCCCTTTCCCTCTGCTGCAGTGGGAGGTTGACTTTGCCTGCAGTTCTGATTCCATTTTTTCCTGGTGGGTTGCACAACAGATCCTCAGTAAAAGCCCTGGGGTTACAGAAAGAAAAGAAAGAACGGCCTTGTGGTTATGGTATTAGCCTGAAACTTGGATTTTTATACACTTTGTCAGACTTATTTTGTTATAGTACTTGGAAGTCCCTTAGGGGATGGTTGGCAAAAGGTTTTTTTGTCTCTTAATTACCTTTTGAAATCCAAGGGAGACTGTATGTCTGAATATCCACAGGAGTCTTGTCCTGGATGTGTGTGTTTGCTGTCTGCAAAGGTGAGATCTCTATCCTAGATAGAAAAAGTGGTACTCTGTCTGAACTTTCTTCCCTGATAAATATCTTGTTTAGTAGATAACCTTCTCTTCCTAAAATACTTATTACTAATATACTATATACTAATATATATATATATACACAGGTATATATGGAAAAGTTTATCTAATATGTAAACATTACTTCTTCATATAGTGCTTTTTTTCGTGTATGGTAGAAAAATATTTTAATCCTAACTGAGATATTTTCTCTATTTTGTGTAACCCATTTATTTTACATTCAGACAATTAATTTTTTGTTAGGACTAGCATATATGTAGGCCACAGAAAGGTGTTGGTGTTTTGCCCAGAGTTTGTGGTTGCTGTGCTAAGGTGTTTCCTCACCATCTTTGCAGCTTATGTCTATGATTATGCTATTTATCATACTATTTATGATTAATAAAATGCTGGTCCCTTGGCTGCTTACACCACACGTGTTAAATCTAGATGGATGGATGGATCTGAACCACAGCCACTGCCAGGTAGAAAACAGCTTGCTAGCGCACAACTTAAGGGAAGAAACAAACAATTTATGTATGGTTGAAAGAGCACAGATAATAAGGCAAATAAGTTCTGGGTGAAATGGTCCCTAAGCATTCTTTGCCTGCCTTACAGACATTTGTCACGTTTTTTGAGATCATTTCTATAGAGATCACAATATCCTTCACAACTCTTCTCAAATTTCTCTCCAAACTGAGAACTGTAGTGTGAATTGTTTACTGTATAGGGGGCTGTGTTTCTTAAGCTCACAGAATGCTTTGCTCAGTAACAGTCTCTCTGATTTGTCATAAAGATTTTCTTTTCAATTAAAACATAATGTAAAATTATTGCCCAATTAGAAAACATTATTTTGTGTTTATAAGCATCCCTGAATGTACATACCCACTGGAAGCATGCAGATGTCTGTTGGAATTTAATTTCTCTGCAGCATATTGGGGGTGGGGACAGAAGAGAAGTAGCCAGAAAATTATAGTTGCTGCAGTAAATACCAGGCTTCTCCCAGTGACCTGTACTGACTGCAGAGCTTATTACATCTAATGTAAGCATAAAACATCTGTTCAGCAATGCTGTTCTCTGGCTGGTCTGTATTTGTACCAGCAAATCAATCATTCTTGGCTGAGTGTTGTTTGTTGTGGGGAGTCCTGGAGAAAAGAGGGTGCCACATTTAAAATTTATCATAAGAAGGATGTTGTGAAATACCTGCAAGGCTTCAATGTACATTAAACAGTGGCAACCTTGCTTCACCTCTGTGATGTGGTTCCTCCTGAGCTCCAGAGGCATAGGTGTGCAGGCCAGGAGGAATCCTGTGGGTGGATGGTATAGCCTGTAGCAAGGAGCATAGATGATGGACAAGGTGTTCCAAGAAGCTAAATTTGGAGTTCTCTAAGGTTGTTGTTTTTATCTGGGGGTTCCTATAAAGTCAGCCTGTGTTGTCAGGTGGTGACACCCTGCGATAAGGCAGAGGTGTGGTGAACCTTGTGCTCTAAATCTGATCTAAATTCTACTTTGGAGCACAGAACTCCTGCTGGTACATGGTGTGTGCTGTCCTTGCTCTGAGCTGTTGAGGGTGAATCCAGGGCACTGCCTTCTGCAGCTTCTGATTTTGCTTGGTTTCAGCTGTTGTTAGCAAAGCTGGCACTTCACCTCACTGGGGCTTTTACTTGCTGAGAAGAGGTGTTTTTGTGCTTTGTATCCCATGAGCCCCAGAGCTGCAGCATATTGGCCATCAGTGGCTGCCTTGGGGGCAGCTCCCCAGCACCGGCCAGTCTATATAACACAGCAGTTCCTGGCCTGGCTTGACTGATTCCCTCACAGCCTGATAGCTGGCTAGTGGGAGGCTCTGAATGGTGCCCAGAGTAACAGCTACATGTGCAAAGCTGTTTGAGATCACCAGCGTTCTTTTATCTGGCTTGCAGGCTCTGTACCTGCTGCTATTGGGTGTAGCAAAAAAATGCTTCTTTGTCAGGAGAGGTTTTTTACAATCTAAATAACACCTTGATTGAGTGGGGCTTTTTTTTTTTTTTTTTCCTCTTTTTTTTTTTAATGTAGTGTTTCTGGAGTGGGTCCCGGCAGTGTCAGCCACCAGCCTGAGGAGTTCTTTTGTGCCGATGCTTTTGAATCTCTGCCTGTGTCAGTGTATTTCCTAGGGAATTAGCCAAGATTATTCACACCTCAGATAAAATTTATTTATTCTATTAGCAGCAACTTCAGTATATCCAATTTTCAGCACTTTGTGAAGATAAGAATTCTGCTTTTTTGCTGGAAAGCCTTTGCATGTGTTTCCATGTGTGGATCTTGTTTCCATGGTATCAGCTTATGAGCCTGAGAAGCACAGGTGGGAGCATTAGCCAGTAAATAGGCATTAGGAGCCAGCCCTGCTGCTTTGTAGGGCTTGGTCTTGTGGTGAGGATAGTGATGTGGGATATGGCAGTGATTTATGTGTTTGAATGGTTGGGACTTGGAGCTTTTCCTGTCTGCAGTATTATGGAATAAAAGACTCAGTGCAGTCCTGATAGTGCTCTTAAAAAGGCATTGCTTTTCCTGCTTCTTTGTCTTGATTGTTCTGAAGATGAGGACATACTGGAATGCGGTGTGACTTGAATTTTTTTTCCTGCCTTCTTTTCCCAAATGCTTTAATGTGTTGTCTAAGCAGCTTTATTCTAGACTCTTTTTCTTCTTCCTTGCCATTGTTGTGTTGGGATGGCTTTGCACACATGTTTTCATGTAGCAGTTGTGACACTGGTAAAATGTAAATAGTAGTGATTGTGGTGTTCACTTATAATACGAGAGCTCAAGCTACCCAGTGTGTCAGTTTTGGGTGTCTCTTCACCAGTAAATGCTGAAGCCCAGTGAGCTGGGCACAAGGCCTGTTTTATTAACTTCTATGTGTTTATGTTCTGCAGATATGGAGGTGATTATAGCTGTTTCTCTGGCTGTAAAAGTTAAATTGTTATGTGTGCACAGAACCATATAAACTTTTGATGGCATGAACTTATATTTTTTAATATAATTGAGCATATACTCCTGCATTATATTTTTGCCATTGCAAATATACTTTAAGAAGAATGTGCTTATTAATTTTCTCCAGCTCAGTAGTAGGTATAACGGGCGAGTAGTTTCAAGACAGTGAACTGGCTACAGGATTTTGAGGGGATTTGTTTTATTTAAATTAAAAGCTTGAGGACATTCAGCAGAGTAATCTTGTGTGAAGACTGTTACCTCAGACAATTATGCTGGCAGTGACCTTGCAAAAGAAATTCTGTGGGAAAGACAAGCCCTTGCAGTAAGGACAGGGGACTGCTCTTGGTGCCCATGTTACCACCGCTGGTGGACAACTTACAAAAACTCAGTACACTAAAGCAACTTAAACATCAGACATGTTCACAGCAGCTACAAAGATGGGTGAAAAATATGTGAACTGTAAGTTTGCTTTGAAAAGAAATATGTAATTGATTTCCATTATTAATGGGCTAACAGAAGGTTTGAGTCGTAAGGTAGTTGTTCTCCATTCCAGGCAAATGACCATAGGGATCATATCATGTCAGGTTTAGCACACTGAGCCTGTAGGCTTTGAGCAGTTCCTCAGGGGTCAGCTGGAAAAAAAGTATAGATAAGAGATACAGAGATCCTCATCACCCTTTTGATTCCCAGCTGTGTCTGCATTAATCTGTGTTTGCTGTGTGCCTCTTGTTGGATCCAGTGGCTGTTGTCAAAGGTGTGATGTTTTTGCAGAATTGTGGCCAGTCCATGAAATACATGTCTGTATTTTGAAAGGCAAATAGCTCTTTATTAAAAAAAACAAACAAACATGCACCCCTGGCACCTAAGCCCTTAAGTGAGGCTACAAATGAAATTCCATTTAAGAGTGAGAACACTTCAACCTTAATTTTGCATCCTACAAAGTGTAGTTGTTTGTTTCAGGTTAATTTTTAATTTCCTGTCATAATTGTGACTGTCTTCCTAATGGTAAGCAGGTTCTGATTTAGTCATTCATATTTCTTTTTCAGATCGCATGTGGCTCAGAGCATAATCTGGCAATAGTTGGTAAGTAGCTTTATTTTATAACAAATCCTCTCATAATTTTTTCATTTTTAGTAGCACAAGATGAAAGAAAAACGTGTACATCAAACACATTGAATGATTATGGGCATTGTGTGCAGCTGAAAGGAGGAAAGTAACATATAGATGTAGAGGAAAGAAGATAAACTGGTGACAGTAAGTGGTGGTGATGAAATTGTGGCCTTGTAGGCCAGCCCCTGTAAGGAGAGAGGGGTTGGTGGATATAACAAGAGAATACATTTGCAAAGTGCTACAGCCTGTTTTAGATTGGAGCCATTGCAACAATCCAGGCTGCAGATTCAGAATAACATCTAAGCTTGACGCTGGTCAAAATCTTTGTTTAACAAGGTGGAAATTATTAACATGGAAATTATTGCTGAAAAAAAGTTCTGGGTCTTTTGTTGTTCGAAGCTTGGAAAAGCTTCAAAATGTCAGTCAGTGGTAGACAGGTTCTTTAGTGCATTTTAGCATAATGCAGCTGTTGTAATAATGATGGAAGTACTAGGAAGCTAATGTCGGTGGAGAAATTGAATTTTGTGTACTAATTCCAGGAACAATCAGATTCTTGCTTTCATGTGATGAGTTGATAACTGAAGTTTGATACATGATTGCTATTATATATAATTACTTGTTTAGGAACATTTTTAGCTGTAGATTTTTGAGTGCTTTATAAAGGAGGCCAGCATAATTATCCCCATTAATAGACAGCGCAAGACAGATGAAGAAAGGAATTCTGTGCTAATGAGAGCTGGAAATGAAACAGCTCTCCATCCACATAGATGGTTTTGGTTGCCATGACTGATGCATTGAGGTGTCAAGTAACGAATTTCCTTAGTTTTCTTAAGTGGGATTTGACAGAGATAGAGAAAAGCAGCTATTTGGTATTCAACCTTTTTCCATGCTCTAATTTTTTAGGTTTTGTGAAGTGGCCACAAAGGTGGCATTTTCTGTATTTCCATATCTGCTGTAGTATATTTTCTAATTATCCTTCTCCAGTTAAACCTTGTAGTGAACTTGTTAAGTTCTATTAAATTTGTGGCTGGATTTAAGAAAATATTTTTCCTTTTTGCCTTCTCCATACTTGTTCAGCATCACATGTCTGTATTAATTGTCAGGCTGGTGCTTCTGAATGTCGACTGAAGAGCAATCTTGTTTCTTGCTGAATTGATGAAGTAAAAATGTACTGCTGGCAGATTCCTTCAGTGTGCATGAAAGCAAAGCACTGAGTTTGAACAACCTTCTCTCTGCTTATGTCCTTTTAAGCTTTCTGCCTTCTAGGCAGAAATCTCTGGGAAAAAATGGGTTGGGGAAAGAAATTCTAGAAGAAAGTTAGAATAAACTAAGAGCTTTGCATATGTAAAGAACACCATATGCCTATCTAAGCTGCGTGCTACGCTCATTGAATTCAATGGGGAAATTATCAGTGCTGGAAGCCAGTCAATTTTATTTTAAGGACAACAGAAATGTGATGTGGCAAATTTTTTGAACTAAAGAACTATGATGCAATTTTCCCTGAATTGAATTTTGCATATGCTTTTAAAAGGTTGACTTTTTAGAACATTCTGTGGTAGGATTTCTTTGATCACTGGCCACTCTTGATTCAAAACTGTCAGCTGTTATAGTCCTTAAAAGATACCACACGGATTTCCATGAATGTCTACTTGATTGTACAATTTTCTAATAACTTACCATTCAAACAGAGTTCATTTATAACAACTGTACCAACCATGTCTTTTTTAATTAGTAAATGCTTGAGTGATTTAGTTTTAAACTGAAATAATTCAAGTTCAGTATGACAAGTAAACCAAAAAGCCTTTAACAGTATAATAGTCAAGTCAGTATTTCTGGTTGTATATACAAATGTGCTTGTGCTTTGTTTGCTGCATCATCTTTTAAATAGAAACATTTTTAGGATGGAGAGGCTGGATTTACGATTCATTTCACAAATGCTGAAGTAGTGTTCCAATCATCTTGCTGGTGATATAAGCTGTTTGATTAGTAAGGCTAGCAAGCAGTTAGGTTTTTTCATGTTACTTTATATAGTCTGCATCCATTTGTATGGTTCAGTTATTTGAATTCTCTTTTCTTGGTTTCTTCTACTGAAGTCAGTGCAAAATTTGTCTCTTCACTGTGATAGCACTTACTCCTTTTTCTGTGGCTATATTGGTAGTATTTTAGTTTTCATCGTGGGGTAAATGTTTGATATAAAGGAGAACGAGATGTGTGTTGTCTTGAAATGTACCTGCTTTTCTAAACTTAATGAGTTAAAAGTTGCCGTTAGTACGCAAAAAGTGTAAACATCTTCGCTCATAGCCCTTGGTGAAAACACATTTTTATCTTCATTTGAGGTTGTACTGTGATACTAATTCTAAAATTTATAAGTCTTGTAGTATTTTTTTATGTTGGTATGTATTTTCATTTAAGAATGAAAGTCCTTGCCTGGTAAGAAAAGACCTTGCACTTTTCACCTTAATCAAGGATTAATCATCTTAGGAGCCAGCCTATTTTTGTACTGAAAGAAATGGGTAGTTACTTAACAAATGTTGTATAACATATCTGAAAAATACCTTGCTATACTGAAAACAGTGTGTGTACTTACTGAGCACCACAAAGGTGGCTTTTCTACCTGAATGTTATAGCTGCAATATTAGTGCTGAACTTTGTGATACCAAAACAGGGTCTTTGAATGACTGAAATACATAACAGGAACTAAATCACTGTGACAATGCTGGACTTTTTCCAGGTTTGGGAGTCTATAGTGTTTTCAATACTGAAAAGGTAAGATTTGATTCTTACCCTAAAAAGCCTGTGTTTAAAAACAGTATTTACGGAGAAGGCTCTTATCAGTTTCCTACCCACTCTCCTGTAAGACTTTGATGCTCCTTTTTTGTAAAAGAAAATAGTTATCTTTTAAGAGAACATGTAGCTCATGCAATGCTGCTACTTAAATAATCAAGCAATATAAACTGTGCAGAGGTAGAGATGCTATTAAATGCAGCAATGCCCTGACTGTGCTGCAGCCACAGGGCACAGGACAGAATGCCGTGAAGACCCTCCAAATGCAAATGTCTTATTTTAGTAAAAATTAAACCATGGGATTTTCTTCAAGCCTCCTGGAGATAGTTAAAAAAAAACTCCAGAAATCATTACAAGGATCACAGTTCTATAGTCTGTCTCCCCAAAGCCTTGGTAATGCATTATATCCCTTTTTTGGTCTTGCTTTTAGTAATTTTCTCAACCCCTATAAATTAATGAAAATCCTTTAAACAAAAGATACTGGAGGATATTTAGGGAGAAGTGCTTGTTTTAAAAGCTAATTAGTTTCTGTTGAAGTCCAACTTTAAAAGAGCCTTCAAAGAGAAATTTGTTTGTTTGGAAGAGGAAAGATGTAGATCTTTCAAGCTGATATTTTCTGGTGTGGTGTTTTGAAGGGGATAAGTGTTGGGACATGTGGCTACTTCAGATAGTGCAAAAAGCCTTTTCTTGCACTTTCATAGTCAGGACAGTGAATTCTGACTTTTTTTGCTCATTTTCTTGCATGGAGGATTTAAAACGTCCTTCAGTGAGACAGTCCCCAAATTCTGACTTGGACACTGCTATGTAGTGACCCACACCACAGAGGTACTGTCAGTGCAGGTGGTGGTGGTGCAGTGGTGCTCACAAAGAGAAATTGGGCTTTGTGATTAATGTCATCGTTACTCGCTTGACACTTGTCTCTGTCTCGTTTGTCTTTTTCCCTTTTCAGGTTACTTACTCAGCACTGCTTTCCCCCCCATGATTAATGGTAGTGGAGAGGGCACCATGTAATTAATGTTAAAACAATAAAAAATGAACCCCAAAGGCCCGTGCTGGCCACCCAACCATAAGTGTGCTTTGCACATGGAAGTACAAGTGGCATATGAGGAGACAAGAAGGTTCTGGCTGGTCACACTGAGTTTCAGTGTGTTAAGTGCAACAGAATTGTCAAGAAACGTTTTTAAAATCACTCTTAGCTTTTTGCTAAATCACAGGTCCTTCCAGAAGAGAGTTAGTTTTGTCTCCCATTGCCTTTTTTGTTTTGTGTGTATTAGAACAAATTCTGGATTTTGTCTTCCGTGGTTCGTGTGCAATCACAGCTGTAACTATCACAACACGGGCATTCACATCCTGCTGAAGCTGCAGTTGGAGAGTAAAAACCAATACTAAATTTAATTGAAGAATAATCTTTGTACAAGAAATTAGGATAAAACATCCTTCCACTCAAATGGTAGCTCATGCCTCCAGTGGTCTGAATTAAGTATGCAGTAGTGTTAAAGGGGCAGTAAAAGCTGTTATTCAATACTCTGTTAAGATTTTCTTTTTATATTCCTGTTCTGGAAGAACATAGCAATTATGAGCTGAAAAACAAATATGATCAAAGCTTAGGTAGGTGGCGATATACATCCTAAAATGGTGGTGGTGTTAATGCCATCTCAAACACTTTGGTTCCATATTTTTTAATAAGGAAACTGAAGGGTTCCTATGTGTGAGCCACTACCTCTTAATTAGCAGAGTTCCATACTGCTAGTAAAGTTCCACGATTCCAACTGAATTATTGTATAAAGCATCAGTTGAGGAAGGGCTGTAACAGATTATGAAAGATCTGTTCTCTGGCAGAGTGAGCACCAATGGGGAGAGCAGGCTGTGCAGGCTGATGGACGGATCCCTGCGTTATGCTGACAGTATTATTTAGATGTCCACAGCTGCCCTATGAAGCAGCAGATAGAGTCATGTGTCTGACATTCGGTCCCAGGGGACTCAGCAGTCTGTCATGAGGAGAAAAATCATAAATTCTCTCTGTTGCTGTAGTGTTTGGAGGAATCTTCAGAGTTCACAGTGGAGGGCACTGGTGTTCAGCAAGGAACCTGAGTCTGCTAGTCTGTTGCTTTATTTATTATGCATGAAAAATCCCAGTGCAGCCAGGGACTGTATTGTAAAGGTTTCCTGGCAGAGCAGCATGGAGTCAT